GAGATTAACTGTTGGCTTTAATTAATTTCCTACTGGACATCCTCTAATTTTTCAGAGAGCATATTACAAATACATAGTTTTATCAATTTAGACAAGTCATACAGGTCATATAGGAGGCAAGCTAGCCTCACGTATCACACCACTGTGGTATGCTTAATATATAAAAAAGTGTGAAGACAAAAGCAAAAGCAAGGATCTGTAGAAGGGTAAATACTTTCCCACAGTAGTAGTTATAGTTTTTTTCCGATACCTTTTTTTGTTTTTATTTGGAAATGTACCTAAACATACAAAGTTGAAACATAATAAAAACAGCCCCTTTCAGGATGACCCTTTTGACCTAGGCAATGCAGAACCTCTGCAGTGTTTGAGCTATTTGCCTGACTACAATATGAAAGAGGTCTGTGTTGGACAGTGGATCTCTGGGGGACACTGAAGCTTGTGTCTGTGTGTTTTTCTTTTTCTATATATAATGGATGTGCACACATAAATACGAGATTGGAAAGGCTAGGAAGTGTGATCAGAACAAAGAAAGTGCATAGCTTGCCGTTCGATGGGTTGCTCTACTTTCATCTGTTTGTGTCCTGCAAAGGGTATTAAGATTTAAAAATGTAAATAATTTTTTTTTTTCTAATTCGAGAGCTGTTTTGGACTATAAAAATAAGTGTTTACAATTGTAAGGAATGTTTATCCAAAAAAATGGTATTGTGCTTATCTGTATTTCTTTAACTTAAACGGTTTTGTTATATCAGACTTTTTGTTTATCACAATAATGCTGTGATGTTAAAATCTTTCCTTTCAAAAGGGACACAGTTCCATTGTCCAGCACAGCATCAATAGCAGCGATTAACAGTTAGTGCAGCTAACAGTGAATCTGGCGATCACAGCACTTCATGCCTGCCAGGCTTTTTCCGAACATACTCTTATTCTGCCTGACTACAACCAGCAGCACACATTCAGTCCACTCTAAAAACGCAGACTGCACTGCAGTCCAAACAGCCATCATCTAATGCAGCGTCTGCTGGTGGCCCAGCATTGCTGATGATTTTCACCACTTGCATTAACCCCCTCCTTGCTTTTCTTTTTTTTTTGAGAACTCAGAGAAAAGTCCAACGGGTAAGTTGTCACGGTCATGAATAGGAACAGCAGCTGTGGCTGAATTTAGCTTTAGGTGTATAAGCCCATATTTGGAATGCCTTGTAATTATGAAAAGTGAAGTGATCCAAAATAGTGTGAGAGAAATAAGATGAACATGAAAACTTTTTGCTGCTTGAGATAACACTTAAATCATAGCAGGTGTCAAGTTTGCAATAAAACCTTAGTTTAGCAGTGTCCCACAGCTGCAATATTTCTTTAATGACTTCTATGAATTGTAACCTATGGACATCTGCTGCTTCTCAAAGCGGATATTATATTTATATATTATATATTATAACAGTTTCTTCCCCACTAGCATCAGACTGCTGAACTGTTGAAAAAAATCTCTAAACCATGTCACAGTCTCTGCATCACATTGATAACACCAAACCAAAAAATACTGCATATTTGCACCATATATATTAATGCACTGAAATTCCATATCAATGCGCTTTTTTTTGCACCGTGTTTTTTCTCCCACACTGTTTACGTTTAATCACTGCTGCACTTTTTATCTATACCAATGCAGGAGGGAAATTGTACATACAGTACAGTAGGTACTGCTCACCCCAGCAATTGTACTTCAGATGACCTTTGATGTCAAGTAATCCAGTAAAGTCTACTGGTCATTGAGTTCTACCATCAGCTTTGTATTAAAGGTTAAATCATTGTTTTGGCAAAATTTAGAATTTCAGCTTTAATGAAATGTAAAACTGCTGCATTTACAAGTTCAGGCTATATCAAGATTTATTTTAGTGCTTCTGTTGTGTAGTGGGTAGTCAAGGCGAGTTTATATATAGAGCACAATTCAGTACAAAGACAACTCAAAGGGATTTACATTAACTGAACAATAAAATAGAAGGAAAATAAAAACAGAATAAAAGCAAATAAAACATGATACAAGCAGGTACTAAATTAAACAGTTGGACCACACACTTTAACTAACGATACCTCAGTTATTATTTTAACTTCAACAGTCAAAGCCAGCTCTAAACAAATGGGTTTTTAACTTAGACTTAAAAGAACTCAGGCTTTTAGCAATTTTACAGTCTTCTGGGAGTTTATTCCAGATAAGTCAAGCTTTGGAACTAAATGCTGCTTCTCTTTGTTTGGTTCTAGTTCTGGTTGTATGGAGATAGGCTTGAAATAAAATACCAAAGTGGTCTAGGAGGTTGCTACACTGACAACATATCTGTTATGTATTGAGGTGCTGATCCATCAGTGATTTAATAAAATGTTTTTTTTAAGTCTGTTCTCTGAGCTACAGGGAGCCAGCATAAGGACTTCAGAACCGGCTGATGTTCTCTACTTTCTTAGTTCTAGTGAGGTCTGAAGATAATTACCTCATTTCAGTTTTTACTTTGTTGGAGAAAATTATGGCAAATACATGTATTTATCTTTCTATGCATCTAGCTAATACTCTGATGGGTTTATAGTTTCCTGGTTACTTATATTAAAAAAAAAACAGTTTAAATTTGGGAACAATCAGTTTTTAGTAGCAGCGGGAAAAGCTCACTGACCCCTGTTGACCCGTGTTAAACAACCCGGCAAGCGACCTGAGTTAAACTCACCTTCACAGGGCTTGGCATACAGTGGGAACAAGGTCGCTACCATACATGATACCATTGAGCGCATAGTACGGACGTCAACACACTGCACTAGTCGTGTCTGATCTAAAAAGCAAAAACCACTGCTTACATTTGATAAACATGGTGCAGTGCTGGTGAGAGAGGTTCGGAGGAATGATAGAAAAGAACAATAAAGAACACTTGCCCACTATGCCCTGGCTACTTTTTGTGTTGCTTTCCATTGTTTACTTTCCTTATTCCTGTTACACTGGTGACATAATGACATCATCAATGCTAACCCAGGGTGATGGCATCACCAGACAGACAGCAGTGGGCAGACAGAGGGCACGCAGCTTGCCACTGGGGGGCCAGATCCTTTTTTTGGGGATGGAGCCAAATACCTGTTAGCAGGTTGACGTCTAATCTACTTAATTAACTCTTTGATTCCAGGGAGTAAGAGGCTTTAGAGAGATTATGTGTATAAAAAAAAGATAGAAAAGTGAAACTCTATAATTTTGCTTAGGGTCATGTTAAGTCGTATCATTGTCTATTTTCTGGTGCCATATGAGTCGATAATCATCTCCCTTAGTAGTCTTGGCCACTGTACTTTTAGATATTAACATTGCACAGACTGATTTATTGATGACTATGTACAGTGTCACATATATGCATATGTATTGTTCAGCATGAATCTGTAGAACAAACCTTTCTATTCACAGAACAGAATTAGTCCAATTTAATTCAAGGCTTCTCCAGATCCAATACAAGACAGACCGCTAGAGAAGATCCTTCCTGCCAACAGCTATCGACACTGACAAGACCTGGTTAAAAAAAATAACCTAGGAGTTTCTGCAAAATTTCACTTCACTTTGGGATTAATAAAGTATTTTAGAATTGAATTAAATTTCTTACCATATTTAACAGATCACATTGGTCATTTGTCTGTTTAACTGAAACTCACTTTTTCCACTACAAAGCTAAAAGAAATAATTGTACTTGTGGTGGTGGAAGTAGCTTTTGGAAAAAAAAGTTGAATTTCTGCCTTTTAATGCCTCACTTAAAATGTGCTTTAAAGTAAGCGGAAGCAAAAAATGAACAAGGTTGCTAGTGTATTTTTTACCATGCGTTTTTCTGTTATTGCTGACTTCACTGCTGAACAGCATCCTTTAAATTTAGAGTAGCTGTTGTGTAGAGTTTCTGCTTGGCTGCAGCAATGACCCTGTTGTACTGTTGGCCCAAATATTTAAAAATTCTACCATTCATTGTTGCTGCTATAGATGCAGTCAAAGGTCGTAGAAGGTGTATGAAAGACCAGAGCCAATGCTCATCTTAACAACAGGGAGAACAACAGTGATGCAAAAAATTGTGTGTCAACCATTTTATCACTTCTCCTCATTAAAGAAATATTTTTGTACTAACATTATGTAATGCTAACATCTTTTTAAGAAACTGTTCCTACTATTACAATTATTAATGAGGTGCTTTCACAGGAAATTAAGCTCAGTTTAGCGCCATTACTGAATGGCAGATTGTAAAGTTAACTAGGATTTTTCATCAGCCAATAAAACAAAAAACAACTTTAACAACGATAAAAAGAAAAAATAAAGATTAAAGTTGTAGCTATAAATTATTGAAGCTATGTCTGTTTCACGTTTGTGTGTAATTATTGAAACAAATTAACTTTTCAGTGATTTTTAACTTGCTGCTGTATGAGGTTTTTGTTATTATTTGTTTCTTTTTGCAATACTGCTGTTTTACAAACTTGAAGATATTATACACCTTTGCAGTTAGAAATTGGACTGTTAAATTTTTTTACATTTTCAAATCAAACCTGGATTGTTTATGAATGTGTTTGGGTTTTAGGCAGATGGGGAAGTCATGATGCCTCTAAGTCTGACTCAGCTGCTCAGATGTTAGGCTCCATGTGCAATGATTGATGAGGCATCAGAAACACGTCAGAACTACTTTTGACTGCAGTTGACACTATTTGGGGACTAGGGAGAGGAAGTGATTAAGTGCTAATAAATGTGCTCTGTAGATCTAAAAGTCCACACATTCAAGACTTGAGGAGTCCAAACAGTCTGATTGATGATTACAAATGTAAATCTATGAACAAGTTACAAAGGGTTATTTATCATTTTACCAAATTATTGGGTATACTGTTGTTTTTCATTGCTCTTAAAGTGTTTAAGGGCAGCAAAACATCATAAGTTGCAGATAAATTAATGTATCTGCTTGTCTTTCAGACTGTTTCTGTGAATCTACTCCATTAATTTTTACACTGTTCCTCTCTTTCAGGTGAACCAATCAAGTTTGATCCAAACTTCAGAGGGCCTGTTCATAACAGGTATTCAGCTGCAGCTCATGTAACACATGCACACATTTCTGTAGAATGCTAATACTCAACAAAACCTTTATATCAGAAATATGTATTTACTTTGCATATTAGTAAAAAAGGAAGGTAAAACTGCATATATCAACATATTTTTTAAGTAGGCTGTTTTTTAATTTGCTCTGACCCATCAGCGTCTTGGCCCTACATACATATTGATTGTGCCAAGGGCTTGACATTAACTTTTTTTGCTCACTGGCCACTGTTGCTGGTGGCTTTCCAAAGTTACTAGCCGCTCTGCATTGTCACTAGCCAGAATGTTTTCATTATAAAATGTGTTTGATATGATCAAAGCCAACTGTGGCAAGGTAAAGTTAACTTAAACTAGATTTACAACTTTTTCAAATGTACATGGCTGTTGTAAACACTCCTCAAACTACATAAAAAGTTTAACAGTACTGGGCATTGTCAAGTATGCAGCTCTGATCAGGTGTTGAAGACATGCAGTGTAGAATATGATAGAATGTGTTGGGTTTTTTGTTGTTTTAAATCATTATGATAAATAAAACAACTATTTTGTAAGTCTAGAAATATTCCTTTATATTTGAGACTGATCTCATTGCATTATAGGTATTTTTCCATAATGCACAATTTAAAATACTTTTTGGGTTTTATTATGCAATATTCTTTATGATTTAGTGTCTTTTATTTTAATGCCAGTTTAGTCAGAGAGTTATTAATAGTCCTGTTGTTGCTCTGCAACCTTCAACATGGCTGGTTGGTGTAACAGAGCATACTTTGATGCTGTTCTGACCCACAGGCTTTTTTTAATGAGAACAGGGAATGGAATAACTCAGTGGTTGTCTTTTTTTAAGTCAGTCCAAAAGCCTAAATATGGTAACCTGGGCAGTCATCTAAAGGCCATAGTGATGTTGCAAATTTTTGCAATCTTGAACATACAAAGTAATAAAAAAAACTGGTTAATCCTGTCTCTAAGTTTACACTAAACATAAATCTAATTCTGCTTTTTATCCCTATAAGTGTGACAGCTTTCATCACAGAGCTTTGTATTTGTTAAGACTACTGCACAGTTGAACAGCTGCCCCTCACGGATTTATTTTAATCATGTAAAATATCCTTGATTCCTATATCTTTCCTTTTTTTCTCAACAATTTTTGAAAACACTGGGACAATCTGGCTGATTCATACCCTGGCTCCCCCACTAAAAACCTGCCATCTGTGTCACCTTGGCTCCCGCAGAAAAGCAGCATTTTACATACAACAGCAGCTCCAAAGATTGTCACTACACTACTGACACTTTGAGTATTTATACATTTATTTATATTTTTTAGTTTTAACAGAATTTCTTACCAGCAGGATGGTCACATAAGACAAAGCTTTGTAAATGTCTGTGCAAGTGAGCCAATCTAAAGTTCGAGAGATGCTTCAATATTCCTTAGATATGAGAGCAAAGCAGAATTGTTGTACTCTGCTCTCTTTATCATCTTCCCTTCAGCGTTGACCTTTAGATGCTTCAAAGGTGACTTTGTTTTGACACTCTGGTGCTGTGCTTGCATTTTTCCTTAAAAATGCAAGCCTTTCTAAATGTGGAGTTGAAAAAGACAAGGGATCCAAAATAACTTTGAGGAGGAAAAGGAAGAGAGCAAAGGCAGTTTCAGCTGGGATGCTTGTAGATTTCAGCCATGTGATTTACCTTGGAAGATGCAGAATGATATTTTAACTGTTTAACATCTGAAGGTTAAAGAGATATTTAAGACTAGAAAGACTGAATTCACCATGGAAACCAAACATCTATTTTTAAATAAAATCAAGTGACACTCTGCATCCCTACCTTTGTTATTAGATTACCAATTACCTAAAACTCTTTGGTGATAGTGGAAGCAAGTTGTTATTATTTACCTTATGTTAAGTAGGTAGCAGTGCCCAATATAGATGCCACTTTTAATTTTATTCATAGATTTCAGTTGTACTTCACATATAAGATGGTTTGTACCTCAAAATAGATCACCCTTTTTACTTTTGCATCAACATGCTATGTTTAATCATGTTATCATGGCAACTTTCATATGAGAATTTAGAAATCAAAATGCTGTTAAGATCTAAAAAAGTCATCACAAATCATTGTAGTAAAATGTTCAAAAGGCACTCTTAATATGATAAATTATGGTGTTTACTATTTATAGGTAAATTAATCAATAGCTAAATGGAAAAGGAATATTTTTAACCATCTTTCAACTCTTTGCTATTTGGTGCCAAATATGGTTCCTGTATATTTTACATGTGCTGTGTTGTTTTACTCTTAGCCTTCTGGACGAAAACTATTATTAGTCTTAGTCACATTTTAGTCATAACCATATGTGATAGTTTTAGTCGGTTGTAGTTGACTAAAACGTAAAAAGGTTTTAGTCAGTTTTCCGTTCAAAAAAACAGTTAACCATTACAATTTCAAATACCAACCAGATTCTTTAACAGACTGACAGCTCTTGCTGAGATACTATTATTGCTGGATATAGAATGCTGTCATGCAGTTCATCATTGCTGTTGGGGAGAAAACTTTGATTTATAGAATTCAAATTAACTTTTTTTATGAATTAATGCCCTATTAAATAGGGCATTAAATAGCAGATCTAGCTCAACATATCCTATTGGTTAATAAACTTTGGTTTAGACAGGCAAGATAACAAAATGTACAATAAAGAAATGGTTTTATACATACAAGGTTTCCATCCCAAAGCAAACACTTCCTGGTCTACTATGAATTATGCATTACACACAGATCAATAAAATCTTCAATGCTCCAAAAAAGCAAAGAACAAAAACATTCTTCTTTCTACTTCTGCAATTTTGGCTTTATTTCTGAGAATTTACCACTCTGTTACTGCTGCTCAAGGCTCAAAGTAGATTTAAATTAACATTTTGATATAAAAAAAAATACAGAGAACTTATAATTGAATGGAAGCGGAGAGCAGTCGTTCTCGACTTTTTTTTCCCCCTTTGCCTTCTCGAGAATGACATAATTATCTTGCTATCAATGTTAAACCATTAATTGTTTTCTCTAGATAATGAATGTTTTCTCTACATAATGAATGAGGCTGGCCAACAGCCCTGGATTTCCTGTCCATCCATGCCTGCGGTGCCCATATAGTTGTGCAGTCGCGGTACCGCATGTGCGCAAATAAGCATTTTTTTAAGTTTCCTTTTTATTTTCACTCATTGTCAGGTCATGTTGGATGATGGGATTGCATGGAATACAGTACAGTAGAAACATATATAACTGCTTTTTTCAATGAAAATCTTTAATCTGGACTCATTTTGGGGGATAATGCACCTGTTACAGGTGTAACACCTGGGCTGTTCAGAAAACACTAGGCGCTAAGGCTCCTAGTGCAAGCAAATCATCAAACCATCAATGCTGTCTCGTTACCTAAAAGTTAAACCCAGGATTATTTACAGAATTACACATAGGTTGCCATGACGTATACTTATAAATCCTCCCCCACTGTTGTGGTATTGAAGAATGTATTCAGTTTTAACACACGCCAATTATCTAGTTATCACAAAAAACGGCTTTTGTTGTCTTTAGATAACAAGGAAATTAACTTGTTTTCTTGAGAAAACCACCGTGAAAAAGTATTGAAGGGACACGACTACTCTCAGCTTCTGTATAATTGCCTTGTAATGCCATGACAATCCAGACCTAAACTGAATGGATATGCTAACTAAAATGTTGAAATATTTAAAAGAAACACAGAAAATGTTTTAATGACAATACAAGGAAACAATTACATCGTATTTAAATAGATAGAAACAAGAAGAAGGAGAGAGAAATATTCAAAGATCTAGACACCTTTTCTTTTGGCTCTTTATCCAAAAATAAACAGTATACAATTAAATATTTGGTTTGGATATAATTTAGGGATACCTTTTAGTAGAAATTAAAGAATGTTTAGTATCTGGAGTGAGCTGGAAGAAATAAAATCTTCATAGTTAGACAAAGGGATTTTTACGCTTGGCAGAGGATGATCAGCCACATAGTTTATTAAGTAGCAAGAGTAGGAAGAGCCATATTGCTTAGAGCGAACCATTAGTGTGGAGGGAGAGAAGCGCAGACGCTGAGCTACACGCGCGCAAAGACGCATTTCTGCACAAGCACAGCTGGAAGAACACTTTGTTAGAGCTCAGCACGCAGTACCGGTGTTCTGTCAGACACCCGGACCATTCTGCATCATATACACCCCGCCGCTGCTGCCGTGATTTGTCTTTGGTCATGGAGAACAAGCACCGTTGCACGGCAGGTGGGCTGCTTGTTCAAACAGGACGCAGCAGCACGGCTGATACTGCTTAGCAGATTACAGCACAATGATGCATTTTAAATGTCTGACCCACAACCCACTAATTTTTATTTAGTCTTGTCTCGTTGACTAAAACTCACACCCATAACTCTGAAGTTTTTGTCAACAAAGATCCATGATTAGCTCGTCAGTATTAGTAATCATCATGAAAAAAAGGAGTGTCAGCGAAATAATTTTGTTATCCTCATTGTTGATGAAAACAACACTGCTGCTAACGCAATATATATTTAACTACTTTTTTTGTTATCTCGTTGCTGGTGTAGGTTAGGTTTGTAATTTGATATCAGTATACTTATGTGGCCTGGTCTTTAAAGATTCAAAATAAGTGGTGCTAAACTACACAAATATTTTTAGTATTTGCATTAAGTGGGCGGAGATCAACCAAGATTGATGCTCAAACCAGTTTGGTTCCATCCATTGAAATTATCAGATTGTGTATTCTACAAGCAGTGTGAGAGTAGCCATAAAAGAACGATGAGATTCTAAGCCATGTTAGTAACTGGAGATAATAATGATAATTAAACAAATAATAATGGTAATACAAAATTATAACATATAATGCTGAGGGAATAGGTTGCCGTTGCTACAAACAAAAGTTAAAAAAGATGAAAATAACCAAAGTTAAAGTTGTTATTGTCTGCT